AGTTTATTTTCCCCCGAGCAGGATGGTGGCCAGCAAGGCCCAAGGAGCGGGTCAGTGGGACAGCCTGCTTCCATTACTCGGCCATGGTGGACTGCGGTGGCCTTTGTGCTTTTAAATACCCCGTTCTATTTTGGTAGACCTTTTCTTCCTTCCTTTTTAACAGCGCGGTTGTGTAACCCGACTCACAATGAACCAGCTGTTCCCAAGTAGAAGGGAGTGGCCCGGTGCATCAGTGCGCCGGTAGCCATGGCCTGAGCCTGCGCTGGGCTTTGTGGCTTTCTCTAGATTCTGTTCAGCTTAACTGCCCTCCCTGCAGACCCAGCCTGCTTTCCTTTGTTGCCCTAAGTCTTTTTCTCAAAGGTCTTTTATTAGCTTTTTCTTTTCTGCTCTAATTTCTCTCCCTTTTACCTTCCGTAGCTTGTGGCCCTACAACAATAGTGAGGGAGAAGAATGCATTCTGTTGGCGTGATCAGGGGAAGCCCCCCCCACCAAACACTTCCAACTTCGTCGGTTTCTGTCTTGCTGTTTGTTGACCGGCCGCAGTGAAATGATTGAGAAGAACCAGCTTCCCCTAATTAAAACTGTCGCCGTGCACCCTGCTCCTCTCTGAGAAGGGCAAAATTTCTTTTTTCTAATTAATTACTTACGAATGTCTTAGAAAAAATGAAGGCAGAAGGAGGTGGGAGGAGTATCAGTTTTCTTTTGTAATCAGAATTGATTCCTGTGACCTACAGATGGCAGCAGGAGAGACTGCTAATTGTCTGGTAGCTTCAGTTTGTCGTATCTTTCTCGATAACAAAACCCCTAGGTTTTAGCTGGCCCGCAGTGCCCTGCAATACGAACTGTGTTTCCTAGCCACTCTTGAAAGCAGACGTCACCGTGTGACCAAAATGTGACTAAGTGCTTTTGGTGGCAATACCGTGCCCGTCTTTGTGGAAGTGTCTGTAAGGAAGATTTCTTCTTTTCTTTCCTCCTAAGGGTGATGATGTAGGCGTGATGGCTTATCACAGGCAATCATTTTGGACCATGAGGTATGTCTTAGTAGTTTGAGTTGCTATTAACAAAAATAGCGTAAACTGAAGTGCTTAACTAACAGAAGTCCAAGGGCTGGAATGTTGAAGGTTACAATGCTAACAGATTCACTGTCTGGGGAGGTCTCTTTCCTGGTATACAGGAGGCCACCTTCTTGGTGTAGTCTTACATGGTGGAAAGGTGGAAAGTGACAGAGGTCATCCATGTCGTATCTCTTCTTATATGGGCAAAAATCCTGTTCCAGAGGACTCCATCCTCATGGCCTGACTGCCCCCCAGTCACCATGAGAAGATCTCCCCTCCCAATGCCATCACTTTGGGGCTCACGCTCCCACATGTGAGTTTTGGGAAACAGACGCCTTCGTTCCATGCTGGGAGGAGCCTTGCACTGGGGATGTCTGGGCCGCGGGACACCGGCAGCCTCTGACCTGTGTGTGCAGGACAGAGACGCCCGTGCGCTGTGTAATCTGGGGTACTTGTTGCCGCTGTCATGGGAGGCTGAACGTCATCTTCACCGATTCAGTGGAGTCTATTTAATCTTACTTGGTGTGAGGGAACTTTTTGAGGTGATTTTTTTCATGCTCAACTATAAACCTCAGGGATAGAGGATCGAGTGGACAAGAAAATCTTAGCTCTCAGTAATAAAAATAGAGGAGGTTTGCAGTAGCATCTGAAGTCTTAACCCTGGCGTGGGAAGCCACCCCTGTGAGTCTTGTTAACAACCACAGAAGTGCTCCTGCTCCTTCTGCCCCCTCTCGCCTCTTCCCTAATGAGCTCACCCCCTGCAGTGACGCGGGGTGGATGTCAGAGCGGGAGTGGGTGAGGAGAGTGTCCCCATGCGTGGTGACTGAGCCCAGCTAGGTGAGGGAGCGCCCAGTGGCGGGGGCCAGGCACACGTGTCAGCGTCCGGGCAGGAAGGGCAGGGGGGACTGGGTGGCTACTGCAGGATCCCCTGGGTCGGATCCCAGTAGGACTTCATGAGGACGCAGGATCTGGCCGGGCAGGAAACAGCAAACCCAGGCCAGCGTTGTGCCCAGGGCTCCTAGGCACAGTCTCCCGTGATTCCTCCCTGTTGCACAGGACACATTTCATGTCCGGATTGCACACCGCAGACCCTGCGTGAGGAATCATGGTTCTAGAAGAGCAAAATAGGAACAAGTGTCCAGCAGTGTCTGGGCTGGTACGATCAGCTGGCCAGCCTGGGCTCCAAGCCGGTGTGAATCACAGATCTACCGGCCCTGGGCTGAGTACAGCTGCGCCTGCCAAAGGTGTCTTCAGCTTTAAGCCAAGCTGTTCCTGGCTCCAAATCAGTAGCAGGCCTCGGGTGCGTCCAGAAGAGAGCACAGAGCTGTCCGATTGTGACAGGAGTGAATCTCACTGTAAGATAACTGTTCCATGCAGTGAAGTGTAGGAGTTTTGGTTCAGTCTGTGAAGAGGTGAAACCAGAGTTCTTCCTGTTAGAGAAGGAAATCGTAGTCATGGAAAGGGAGAGGATTGAAGTGAGTCCTGTGTTGTATCGGAACTGGATGTAATGGGGTGAACTGGTTATTAATAATGTAAGTAGTAAGATTGCGGCACTTTGTGTGTGTGTGTGTGTGTGTGTGTGTGTGTGTGTGTGTGTTCCTAGCTCTTTCTACTCCGAGAGGGCTGAGAATGTCCACCTCACCCCCAAGAACTGTGAGCGCATCTGGACCTAGAGTTTAGCTTATCAATATCACTTCCCACAACCAGGAACCAGAACTTAGGGGAGAAATTGTTGATTCCAGAGCGCAGAAGAGACGGGAGAAGAAAGCGAGGATGCCCTCAGGGAGTGACGGAGACACAGCTACGTGGGAGGGACCCAGCAGCTGGGGTGGGTGGACCCCCACTGGACATGCGAGGCCCAACTTGAGCATGCACATAAGTAATGAGACATTATAATCCCATGACTAAAACGGGAAGCCATAAACCGCACTAAAATACAAGTCAGTCAGTGCCGATGTCCCGGCAGCGGAGCTGGGCCGTTTGAGACTGGGTCATTGCTTGTCTTGGGCTCATCAGCATCCCTGGATTCTGCCGTCTGGGCCAGTGTTACAGACAGGCGCCGTCTATCCTCTTACCATAGTTACTGTTACAAAGGGGGCAGTGGAGGAGCCTCCTGATGAAAGGGGGCATCCTCAGCAGTGGGACGGATTGAAGCCCGGTGCCACTGGACACGAGGCAGTGAGCACAGTGTGTCCGCAGTGCTCTAGCCAGAGCTGCATAGCCAGAGCCTAACCAGGAATCGAGCAGTGGCCTGTCCACTCGAGGGACTGTTGACTGCTTTGCGGGACCACACTGACGTATTTGACATCGGTCATCTAGGAAGTAAAGTAAGGTTTATTTTGGTGCTGGAGGTTTAAGTCCAAGACTGGGTTGGGCCTCATCAGTTTGGGCCTCTGATGAAGGTCGCACATTATGGCAGCGTGGCAGTAGAAGCCAGCAGTTCCATCTCAAGCAGGAAGCAGAGAGAGAGAGAAGGGGGCATTGAAAGAGACCAGGGTACCATGGTACTCCAGCGGGCTCCCACTAGCCCCACCTCATGCAGGTCCACAGCAGCTCCCCCAATACCACTCCCTGGGTCCAAGCCCTTACGTACCTTTGGGGAACACTCATCTGATCCATGGCAAGGACATCATGCAAAATAATCTGACCTACAATTTTCCTAGTTGCCAGTGTCAAGAAAGTCAAGGAAAGGAAGCTCCCAGACTGAAGGGGTTTAAAGAGATTTAACAGCTCCACACAGCAGGGATTCTGAACTGGATCCATTTTTCATAAGAGAAAGAAATGATTGGGGTGCTTCTTGGAGGAGGCAAAGGATTAGGTGGTCACAGTGCTCAGGGTAACCTTTTTGCTTTGATGATTGTCTTCCAGTTATGTGAGAGAATGTTTTCATTTACCACACTTATGGGACACTAGACTAGCAGCTTGATTCAAAGATTCAGATCAGGAAAATAGGTCTTTATATGGTGTTTTGAACTTTTCTTTAACTTAGTGATGGTGTAAGAAAAAAGTAGGCAAAAGTTGTGGTCAGGAGGGATATATACTCATTTTCTTTTAAACATGCTGAGATCCAACAGTGGCAAATTTTTTTGTCTTACTATCCCTTTAAGGAAAAAATCTCTACTGCATTAAAAGAATGGTCTTATAGAAAGAATGTTGGAAAAACTTCTAAATCTGAATCTTACATAAACATGTAGATATCTGCATATATAATGCTGACCACCCAGTAAAGTTTTAGGAACCAAAGTGGAAAGCAGGTCACTTCTCCCTCTCTCTTCTTAATTTTTGTGGATCTGTGTATATTTTCTTTCTTTATAGGTAGAAGAACCATTCTTTAGCAAATTTAATCTTGTTGAGCAGATTAAACTGCTAAAATAATGTTTGAAACTGGCAAGTAAGCTGCATTTCAAATCAGTGCTTTGAAACATAAACGAAAATATATTTAAAGAAAGTGATGGAGGGTCTTTACCTTGATCATCTGATCACGGGTAGAAGAGTTTCCGGTGGACAGTGGACATTGATGAAGTAATACGCTGCTGGCCTTCTGGGAGATGGTACCTCTGTTGGGATAGGATGGTTTTTTAAATCAGTGAGGCCTTCGTGTTTCTCTGGAGTCACTGCTGGCTCTTGAGTGGTACAGGTGGAACTAAACAGGCAGGGTGAGGCAAGCAGACCAGGTCACCAAGCAGAGCTAGCTGGTCCTTGTCATGTGTGATCCAGTAACCTTAATCTCATTAGCTCCAGTTTGCCGTGCTAATTATACCGTCAACTGCCTTTTCTTCATTTGGTTTAACATTTACCAGCTAGTGTTATGTGAATCCTCGTGTCTATTTTGAGCCGTACCACTTCAACCTGCGAAAATCATTTAACAGTTTACCTGGTAGGGGCGCAAGTATAACTTGGATGCATTTCCTGAATGTGATTTTCTTTCTTTCTCTCTCTTTACAGTCTCCTTATCGCACATCACACAGCTGGTCCTCAGCCACAACAAGCTCACAAGTAAGTTAACGCCTCTCATTTATTCCAGAGTTTTTCGTTTGTGGGTAATGTTATCCTAATGCCAACTCTGTTTTTATATTTCCGTTAAAGAAGCTGATGACAGATGCTTACCTGGGCAAACTTAAAGTTGACTTGGTGACAACTAAGATTGCCTTTCTGTATCTTATAGTTGCCTCTACTTTGAGAGTGCTTTCCCTATCATGTGTGTAAACTAGAGGGAGCGTGGCACTATTTATCTGAAAGTGGTTCCATTCAGGAATGGTAAATAATCTGGTGACCGGAATTGCTGGACCATTCCTTACCATTTCATTAAAAAAAATAACCAAAAATACTAGCATCAAAGCTCTTTGTTTTCATCCATGTTATTCTTCAAAGGGGAAAGATTTAACTGTTCAATATGCTTTCTTTCCCTGCTTGAGGAGGGAAGACCCACAAGACAGATGGATTACATACATTTGTATCCACATTTTTCAAATTTTCAAGACTGGTCCCTCCACCCCTCCCTGCCTGGTTCTCTTGAGCATCCACAGTGTCACGATATGGTTATTATGAGATGGAATTAATATCTGTTTTAATAAGAATACCTTATGTGAATGATGGCCCATTTTATTCTTACTGCTCTGGCTTTAAAGATTTTAATGTCAGGGACCCACTCTCCTTTCTCATTCCTAATTGACTGTCACTCCTTTGTGCTTGCCATATTTCCTGCAGACTTGAATGATTTTCTAATCGTGTGGCAAGAATTTGTCAGGGAGCTCTCTGAGTCCAATGGAGTTGAGCAGGATGTCATGTCGCGGGATTTGTGTGGCGGATTTATGTGTTCACGTGCATTACAGATAGCTTGAAGCAATGTCATGGAGCTGTTGATTATTGAGAATTAGGAGTGGCAGTGAGAGAGGGCTCCTCACGTGCGGGAAACAGGCGGATTAGCTCATTTTTAGCCAAGCGCTATTTGGACCGAAAAGGCACAGGGACACAGTTGTCACCTTTAGGTCTTGGTGGCCACAGAAGCTAAAACGTGAGACCTGCCCGTCACGTGTGATCCTTGTTAGCACAGGTAATACGTTGGTGGTTGCATTGTTCTTGTAGAAAATGGCCCTGCTCTCCATGGAGACCATAATCCCAGTCTGGAAGGGATTTTCAGTGTGTTTTGAAAGGTGGACGGCACAATCTCTAAATTCCCCAAGACTTTGTGTGCAGACATTCTTGATGCTCTCCATGGCACAGTTCAGAAAAGTATCGCTTAATTGTTAAACTTAACCCTCATTAGATCTGTGTCACTACTGGGACGAACCGGGTTATTGGTAAGCAAGAAAGGCCGACTTGCTATATTCCTGTTATATCATTCATTGATCTGCCCTTTAAGAAACTCTTCCAACTAGTTGTGTATGTCGTTTTACGTATCCACAAAGACAGAAATCTCAAGGTTCAATGAATCAGTTTCTTTTTTCAGGCATAGCACGTTACATAAATTCAGAGAGGCATAAATAAGGAGCTAAATTGTGTCGGCTGTTAAAGAGGTTGACTGTGAACGAATCTAGACTTCCCATTTCTCCCCTCTCTGTTTTTTGTCTGCTGTTTTACTCTCTCTCTCTGAGACACTCTTTACCGAACCCAGGAGACTCTAATTAATCGTCTTGGTAAATTCTGTTTCCGGCCACGGTGAGTAGTGTCAGTGCCACCAGATCTGCTCCACTAAGGTCAAATTAGCATCTTTTACTATTTTTCTGGCATTTAAATGAATGACTTCTCCTATGGTTTTTCAAGTGTTTGTAGTAAATATGTCCATCTGATGGAAATATAAATATGCATTAAATGTAAGTGGCTGAGCACACCCTCCTGTCACTTTTTATTCTAATCAGTGTCTTTCACTTTCCATTGTTTTTAATAGGGACTGGCTGACAAGGCTACATTAAAACCACTGGGACTCAAAAGATAAACCCCTCAGCACCCGCCTTGATCGTGCTAACGCACTTGTGTTTTTGTCTCCGCGTGCCAGTTACGCTGCTCTCTGACATTGCCGCTTGCTCGGGTATTTAGGGAGTGAATGACTGGCTTACCCAGTCTGAGACCTGCACTTGGGGACACTGTTCGAGTCCACTGACTTGAGTTGATGTCTGCACGGGCAGCTCATCAATGCAGGACTGGGTTGATGGCCCTTTTCCTGCTGGTGGTTTTGACTAGGACAGGGAAGGTAAATAAGCCACGAAGTCGCTAAAGGTGCACTCTATGGCCCTGAAATTGCCCAGGCTTTGTGAGCACAAATCCCTGAAGTTTTCTTTAATGGAGTTCCTAAAACTGTTTGAAGCTTCCCAAGGTAATTATGTACTGTCAGAGCTTTATTTTTATTACAATAAAGCTATTTATGTAGACCTAGTAGTTTGGGACAGCATTGGTGGTTTTTGGTCAAGTCAGCGGAAGAACCCACGGAGACAGTAGCTTTCCCAGGCGTGTGCGTGCTCTCGATGTAGCTATCCAGACAGGAGGAGGAACAGTCAGTGATCTTTTCCCTCTGCCTTCGCCCGACGTTGGGCAGGTGCAAACTAGGAACCCAGCAGGGCGGACTCTTACTGACCCAGTGGACAGAATTTCAGAATAAATATCCTTTCATGTATTTACTTTTTGCAGCACTTTGGATAAAACCCAGGGCCTCACGCATGCTAGGCAGACACTGGACCACTGAGTTACGCCCCAGCCCAAGAGTAAGGTTTTCGTAGCCACTCCTTTCACTGAGCACCGCCTGCTGCCACGCAGGTGCTAGGTGCTCTCTCTTTGACTTCCAGAAACCGCCCCCATCGGGCCACGGCCCGATGGCTTTTTTTCCTCTCGGGCTGCCATAGAACAGTCTCCTGCCCCCCGCCCCATCCCAGCCTCTGCATCTGTGCTGGGTCCTGCTCTCCGGAGCCCCCTCTGCTGTCCCCTCCCTGAGGCCCCTTGCCCACTCCGGTCCACGCCACCTTCTTCCACACCCGTGTTGCACATGGATTCCTCAGTACCAAAGTGACAGTTCCTTTGTCCTTCTGTGGCTTCACGTTTCTTGTCTCCTCAGCTAGACCGTAAGCTTTTGCAAAAACAAGGAGCATTTCTTAGTCGGGTGAAAGCCTGTGGCTGAGTGCTGAGCACTGTCCCTATCATCCCCCATGTAACTGACCGTGGTTGTTCAAAGGAAGGACCTGGTTTCAGAGGGAGCAGCAGCCCTGAAGTGGCTGCTATGACCAGGCGATTTCTTCAGGACTGGCTGGTAGACGGATTTCAGAGGTTCTGGCCACTACAGACTGCCGTGTCTTGGTCATCGTGTGCCTCTTTCAAATGTGCCGGGCTGTGAGCACACTAAAGAAACACGTCCAAGAAACTGACGTTTGCCTCTTCCGCACACTCAGCGCGGTCCTTCTGTAGCTCAGGTGTGATGGGCTCTGAGGGCCTCTGGCACCCCACGGGACCTGCAGCTCAGGAAAACTGGGATCCTGACCCCCATGGGATCCTCAAGACCCCCCTGGGCTCAACTGAGTTCTCTCCAAGTTTTACCCTCTCCTCTCGGTACTCTGCAGCTCATTGATGATTGAGCCTGTGCTCCCTTCACTCAGAATTAGTCCCATATATTTAAATCCTCAAGATATTTACTAATTTTCACATGTACCTAATTGCGTTCTGAATTTCCAGAGGTAGGAATCCTTTTTGTCCCTTCACATAGCAACCCAAAGATTTTCTTCGCGTGGCTTCTTTCGGTCTGCCCTTTCTGAAGCCCTCATCTTCTTAGTGACCCTCCCTTTGGAGTCATCACTAGCTGTGTGTTTTTCAGTCTGCCCCTTAAATCTGATCCCCAGATTTTATAGGGTTGAGGGGTGTAGGCTTTGTGTCTGTGTTTTCACCCTTTGAAATTTCTTTCAGGGACAGCCATTCTAAAAGTGGTCCACTAGAGGTCACTGTTGAGACACACATTCCAACCCCCATCCATTCTTGTACATAAAAAGTAAAACCCAACTTGGTCTTCAGAGACATTGTTTGCCTGCTGTTGGGTGGGTCCTGTACCGCAGGGCTTGTTGGTGCTGCCACTTGCATAGGACAGTTTCATCGCGTTTAGAACCTTGGAGAAGGAGATTTGTTGTTTTTCTATTTGGCTCCTAAGATATATTCAGTTTCTCACTTTTTTTTTTTTTTTAGTGGTTATCATGGCTGCTTTCTTGCGTTAGAAATATTTCTTTTCCTAACATGTTATATATGTAATTGGATTTTAATTAAAAATAACGATGTAAAGCTGGGCGCGGTGGTGCACACCTGTAATCCCAGAACTCTCAAGGCTGAGACAGTAGGATCCCTGAGAGTTCAAGGCCAGCCTGGGATGCATAAAGTGAGCTCAAGGCCGGACTGAACTACACAGTGAGACCCTGTCTCAGCAACCAAAAAAGTCAGGAAAGTATTCATTTTGCACGTATTTATACTGATTTTTACTGTATAGTCATTTTACAGGGAAGAATACTATATGTTATTAAGTGAATTAGGTTCTGCCTCAGCGGTAAAGCAGTCTGAGTATTAATATTTAAACATGAAGCTTTCCTTAATTTTTGAAAATAACTTTACTCCTACAGCAACACCCATTTATAAATACTGAAAACACCTTAAATAGGACAACAGTATTTTTTACTTTTTTTTTTGGTTTTGGTTTTTCTCCAGTACCGGGAACCGAACTCACGACCTTGCGCATGCCAGGCAGGCGAGTATTTTTTACTTTATGACCCATTCGTGTTGAGGATTAAGCTGTCAGCATTTGTGCAGTAAATTCAGAGGCTGTCCCTCTGCTCTGTGCAGACTTCAAGTACCTTTCCGTTACGACAAACTTTCGTTCATGTGGAGCTCTGCATGAGATTGTTTACTTTTATACTTCGAAAAAAATTTTTTAAAGTACTGGGGATGGAACCTATTTGTACTGAGTTATGACCTGAGCCCTTTCCTCATTTTTTATTTTCAGATAGGGTCCTGCTAAGTCACAGAGTGGCCCAGTG